CATAAAAGGATAAAGCATTTGCCGTTGATCAATCCCTTTTTGGGATGCGGCACGCATTCTACTTCCATTTGTACATTCGTACCAATTAACCGACCCCGGAGGGATGGAAGGCTTGGTTGGCCCGGGCGACTCACGACCCAGGATTTGATCCCCGGACCGCTCGCGTGGTAAGCGTGCCACTTGCCACTACACCACTTCCGCCCTGTGCAACAATAGTTGTTGGCATTTCGAAACTGACTTTCGGAAATCAATTCTAACCATGAATATTGTTTGCAGAAAAGATGACAATCCAGAAAGTGTCAACTCCTGTTGAGATGACCGCTTTGGTTACACGCTGTTCTTCAGGCTTTTGGAAAACGCATCGCATGCGGCACGCAGGTTTTTTCTATCGGTTTCGTCCCAAGAGTTCAAGAGCCTGTCATGAGAGTTTTCATGGGTATGTGATAGAGCAGACTTTTCTCTTCATTGTAGTCCATACTTGGAAATATACTGTTCTAACATGACGGAAGTGGAAAGTCATTTGTTGTAATTGATGAAGTCGGGGACCTTCTCGGTACACCGAGAGCAAAAAATTGAATTTTCGTAGGCATGTTTAGGCATATCGTGAAAGAATGGAACGGAAAACTCTACAATGAGGAATCCAAAGTCCGAAAATTACAGTGCACCAGTAATTTTGTCCTACCCTGTAGTTAGTCACATTATATGAAATCCAACTGAATTCAACAAACTTCAAACGCACCCTCGGAACAATGTCACGCGCAATTTCCATCGCTTTTGAGAACGCATCCGTCTTTGTGCAGTGATTCACAAGACCAATTCTACACGCTTCTTCACCACTGATCATTCGTCCAGTGAATATTAGTTCTTTTGCCATGGACGGTCCTACAGCCCGTGTGAGTCGTTGAGTGCCTCCTTAATATCACCAGTAAATCAAAATTTTGTGATAAAAACAAAAGATAAAAAAGACAGGAATAGTCACCGGCTCCAGGAATGATTGCTAATCTTGTTTCCGTTAAACCAATCTTCGCATTAGTTGCTAAAACATTCCATGCATTTGTGTAGCTTCACTTTTCTGATACGCGGAGTTGGGTAACAATTTCTGACGCGTTAAAGACATACATGGGATCTACAACAAGAGGTCGGTAGCACAAGCAATTTTGCATTATCCTTACATACAGGCGACGCGGATATCACAAGCAAGAGCCATCTCCAGACCACCACCAAGAGCATAGCCATCAATTGCCGCAATCACAGGTTGTGGAAGGAGCTCAAGCTGAATATAAATAATCCGAGTAACAATGCAAATGCTTAAAAACTGACGTACCTCACTGAACGATGACCGTAATGAGTCCACAAATTTGGGCACGTCTTCCACAGGCATTGATTTACGCTCCTTTAAATCAGCACCTAGAATACTAGGTCCAGCTCAGGATTTGCTTAGGAAATAAAGAAAAAACAGTGCACAATTAACCACTGTAGCAGGTATCTCCGTGACGAAACAGTATAAAAGGCAAGCAAATAGCAAAGAAATACATGCACACAGGAAAGCAAAAACGATTCAATCGTACCTGTACAGAAAGCTCCTTCCACATCGCTCTTAAGTATGACAACTCGTGCACTCTTGTTGAACTTCACGGAGTAAATGCTTTCCTTGAACTGAAATTTACCACAGAATTCAATGCAAAACACGGCGTCTTGTTCAAGTGGTGTGAAACAAGAAAAAAAGCCAAGTGAAAAAAATATAAGCTTTCGACTGACCTGTTCTAAGAACAATTTGCTTATGGCATTCTTGGTTTGAGGGCGATTCATCCTAAACAGGACAATACCTAAAATACGAGGACATGGATCCAATACTAACTATAGGGGTAATATGTTCACAGAAGGCTTTTGTAAGTCCGTCAACTATTCTGAGTCCGAAACTTTCTGACAGAAGGCCAGAAAAAACAAGTGGGCGATCCACAAATCCAAGGTTGTGGTCGTACTCGTTTCACGCAGCCGCTAAACGTTCGACGAAAACATCAATGCATGGATTGCGAGCAATCCTTTAAGACGATAGATACTAGCGCTCAACTCCAGTCACCGCATTCTGATGCCCAACACGACTCTGTCGCCGGGAAACCGAACAATTCCGAGTAAACGAGATGCTGTAACCACAAAGGACTAACCATAAGGGGGCTAAAGAAGGCACCAGGACTGAGTCAGTGCCAAATAGAGTTTGTATGTCTTCTTCTCTCGCCTCTCTCCCCTCTTCAGTTCGTTAGAAAATAGGCAGTGTAGCTAAACAGGCACGAAATTGAAGCCTGTTTGAGTTCCTCAATTAATGATCTTGATGACAATGTGTCGACGACGACCCCTTGCAATACTGTAACCGACTAACTCCTCTAACTCGAGCGGCTTCTCGAGTGGGCGGAGTGCGGAGTATTTCCTAAGATAGCACACATTCTACATCTGCGAGCGTAGGGAACGGTCCATCCTCCCACGTGAGACATAATCTTCTTCTGCGAGCGTAGGGAACGGTCCATCCTCCCACGTACTCTCAACCATCTCTCTTATTAGTTAGGTAATAAATATCCGCACTGAGCCAGTTTTGATCGTTTGCTTAAAAGGTCAGCAAACCGTGTCTTCCGCACCCATCTTAGACAAACAATGTGTCGCAAAAAAACCTGGGATAGGGTAGTACATGGACCTAGGTCATGGTCATCTCCTTAACTTAAGAGAAGGTAGGAAAGACTAGACGAACCCACAACTAAGATATCAACTTAGAACCCGTCTACAAAATACCACTCACCTTCGTCTGAGCCCGAGAGGGCCTCCATGATAAACGGATCCGGTTGCGATGCCATGGTCCGAACTAGGAGCATGTTGTTAGACCGAAGTAGCAAAGCCCTTGTACACGAAGATATCACTCTCATTCTAAAACTGTAAACAAATAAAACAGAGCTCCGATAACGTCCAAATCCCAACATTCTTTCGAGTGAACGTATAACAGAGCAAAGTGGGTGGAAAAAGGTGACAATTCAATCGAATGATGTGGAAAAAGGAGAGAAGAAGAGCAGAACGTTGTCTTATAGAGCAGCGATCTTACGAAAATTGGAACCTATCGTCTATTCAAGGAAAACTCTTCAACATGATACCGCCTACACTGTCTCCCCATCCACATTCACAAATATTCGCAACAACAACAATATCTGAGTATGGTGCTGAAGCAGAGCTGTTATGCGCAGAAGGGAAAGATAGACCTGGAAAACGCGACCTTTCTCAACAAAAGGTAAGATCAACAATCTCTCCAAAACCTATTCTGCGGTTCCCGCAAGTCAGAGTGCCGACGTGAAATTGGAAACGTTTCGTGTAAGCTACCCACACACATTTTATTTAGCGCAGGGAGCGACACGTTCCTTCTACATTACTTACGCTTAATTCTTAGTCATTCACATTTTGAATGCAATGTATTCTACGGAAGTGTCGTTAAAATTCATATAATTGATAACAACAGGCTACTGTTTGAAAGGAACTTTTCAAAGCTTCATTTGTTTGGTAGTACTCCTTTCCTCACTGCTTTCTTCGCGAAGCGAAAACTGTTCGTTTGAAACTGAAAACTATTTTCTTTTGTTCATCCATGTCTACTTTTCGTTGACACATAAGGATTTTCACCATCAGAAACGCTTTTTCTCCGAAGACAGCAGTAGTTTTTAGACAAAAGTTGGTGCGCAGTGGAAGGCACAGAGGTGAAAGCCTACTCTAGTAAGCACATGCCAAAACACTATCTTATCTGAGGGAAACTGAAATGTTGGTATCTTATGATTCGTAGCAGTGGTGTTTCATCATTTTGCTGTTAAAAGCCTGACATTCCCGGTGGTTGTGAAGAGCAGCCAGCTGGCATAGCTGTACAATCGACTGCCTTTGTGGTGGTAATGAATTCCTTTCCACTCTTTACCAACTTGTTGACAATCTCAGTCGACTTTTTTTTAAATCGGTTTCGCGGTGTAATGTCGTGGTTGTTAATCAATATAGGTTGCTATTCTCCGCTATGACTCCAATACACCAGGCGCTGCCGATTTGCTCTTCAAAATGGCAACATTTCTCTCATAATTTGTTCTATGTGGCTAAGGGGAGGGGTTAAATAAAAAGGACACTGTTCATGGGGGGGGCCACCCTATAAGGTTTACCTCGCACATTGATGGGTAGTCATTAAGTCTCCGAGTAGTGTAGGTAGGTCAACATGATCCCTCTGGATCTCTGCACGTCGTTTTGACGGGTTTTGAGAAGTGAAGATTTGAAATTGTGACTAAGATGAGTGCTCAATGTCCATTTACGCCGTTGTTACTGTGGCGTAAGGCCGCGTTCACACTTTTCACTTTTTCACACGCGCTTTCGTATTAGGAGAAAGAGAAGCGAAAATACGTATTAATATGGCAAAGTAGGTGTTATATTGCGCTCAAAGATTCTATCGACAACTCGCCAGAGAAGCAGATCCGCTGTTCGACTATGGATAGTTCATAGTAGTGAGTAGGAGATTAGGATAGTAGTAGATTAGGATAGTGCGCTGACAAGATTAGATATGTATTGATCTATTCGCTTGAAGTCGCCCAATCTACTACTCTCCAGCGATTTCAATCGATACGTATCCAATCTTGTCAGCGCAATCTCCTACTCTACTACTGTCCTAGTATTCTGTAGCCTTAGTCTCTCAGGTCGCTAACTATGAAACCATCCACTAGTCTTCTACTAGCCTAATCAAAGCGTATCGAATCTTTCAGATTATCCTGTTCTATCCTTCCATCCTAGTATCTATCTATCCATCTGTCGATTACTGTCAGTAATGCATGAAAGGGGTGGATCATCTCTTGGCTGCGATCATGCTTTTCGGCCATCTCACAGTCCTAATGTGGGGCCGGATTCAATCCTCCCCAAGGGGTTGGCGGACGAAAACCCTTTAATTTTCTCTGTCTTCCCAACTGGGATTGTCCTGATAAAGGGCCTACATTAATGTATGTATGTAGGTCAAAGTAAACATGCACTGAAAATGAAGAACTATGGGCCGTATGCTATGCTTCCCCGAAGCTAGGTGATCCAAAGTTTCCTTTAAATTTATTTGTTTTGAACGATGTAGTTTCTTCATTTTCAATGCATGTTTACTTTAACCTACATACATACATTAATGTAGGCCCTTTATCAGGGCAATCCCAGTTGGGAAGACAGAGAAAATTTAAAGGAATTTTCGTCCCCTAACCCCTTCGGGGAGGATAGCATACGGCCCTATATCGTTAAAAACAAATAAATTTAAAGTTATTTTCGTCCCCCAACTCCTTGGGGAGAATTGAATCCGGCCCGTGGGTTGGACACGTATTTATCTATTTAGAAGCAGTTCCCGATCCACTTGATTGGCAAATTTGCGTTCTTCGTGGCATTCCATTTCATTCTATTTCAGCTCCTCTTATCTATAACATTAGCCCATTTCTGGTCGTCGTTTAGTCACTATTGAAATTTTGTTTGATACCTTTTTTTGTTGTTTCATAATTGTAAACATTATCTTACTTGGCCATCCTCATTGCAGCTTAATATGTCATGGTCTAGCGCGTTCACTAACGCATAAATAAGTAAATTATCGTGCGACCGCATTATCGATACTTATCTATAATACTTCAGGAGAGGCAATCGCGCCCTCATCTATAATTTCGTACCATTTACCCACCACAGCATCTGTGACCTATACGTTGGGCTGGGAGAAATGGCGTTATCGAAAATACGGGGCGTCTCCTAGGACCAAGTCTGGGGGGAGGGGCAAGACCTTATGGAATGAAGTTACTTACGCGCAGTTACTTACAACCTTGGGGATATATCCAACCTCGGGGAGAGGGGATGGGTCCTCATCCCCTCGTTGGGGCTTGCTGCACCCAGCCCCTGGAGTCGCTCGTCACCCGTCTAAGGCTTAGTTCCGATTTTCAACAAAATGAGATGTTTTACACGGTTTTAAATGCTTGCTACCACAATGCCCCCGCATCTTCCGATAACG